TTTACGTAGAATTTTAGTGCCAGCATCAGTTTTCTGTCAAAATATGCATTAATTAAGCTAAATATTTCATGCGCACGTGAATCCTGTCAAATTTACTGTAATTTATCTTACTACAGTGCATAATATTTTAAGGTTAATTTTGCAGTCTCTTTTCAATTGAGTTATTGGACACCTGTTCCAAGGTCAATTTATTAGGGCATGAAATGCAAAAGGGCTTTATTTTTTGTGAAAAGTATGCTCTCTTACATACGAAAATTGTTTTATTGGCATACATAATTCATGAAATACTGTCATGTAATAGCGACTTTTTACAAAAACCTTAGACTTCTACTATATCAATTATAACAGTATTAGAAATAGTACAGCACTAGTGATAATTATTTTAGAGGTTTAAAATCTACCACCACCAAACTATGGAGTATTTTTACTAATTCTGACATACAAAAGCACTATTATAACGTTATTACTAACGAAAAATTTAAGGATCTGCTTGTAATTTGAATAAATTTTATTAACACACGAAAGACAAAATAATTAATATTTCAAGAAATTATTGAAGTTCTTGTATTTATGGTAATACAGGATAAATTAAAAACTCTTATAGCCGTATAAAATAACTTTAGCATGACTAATGCAGACAGTGGCTATATTTACACGTTATATTTAACAAATATACCGTTTCTGATGCTTCTGAGTCGAGCTATGATTCTACAATACGGTAAGAGGTGGTTTTTAAAGTTCTTATAGATCTATTGTAAAGTTGCAGACTACATAGTACTACTTAGTATTATCTTGAGTGCTATATGTAATATAACATAATTGAAGCGCTTTTATCTTCGTTATTCCTCTTTTATATCTCATAGTGTTAATAAGAATATTTATAACTCGACTTTGTATCCAACGCCTGTACAAAAGCTCTACATACCCCTTTTTATCTTCAAAGCCATTATCGCCACTACTAAACGGCTACTTTATCACTTTTTAAAGGGATGTATCTGTTACGTACAGGTTAAGAAAGATACAAACTTCCTTAAACAGCTGTTATAGAGCAAGAGAGCGATACAGTATCTGCTTATACGAGTACATGTGTGCTACTTGGCAGATTTAGCAGATATGTGCATATATTTCCAATGGAAATTTCAGGATTGAGAAGTTAGATACAACGTGTTGTTAACCAAAAATATAATTTTATCATTATATTTTTATACTACAAAATTTTAAAACTTGGGGTATACTAAAAATATGTTTGAATTTGTTGATTAGTTGATTGTAGATTAGACAACCAGTGCGTGTTGCAGTGATGACCTATGGAACTGAGACGAGGTCCTTCACTGCTGGCCGGATGAGGAAGCTAAGGGTTGCTCAGCGAGCTATGGAGAGGGCTATGCTCGGAGTTTCTCTGCGTGATAAACTTAGAAATGAGGATATTCGCAGTAGAACCAGAGTGTAGGACATAGCTCAACGGATTAATAAGCTGAAGTGGCAATGAACCGGCCATATAGCTCGAAGAACCGACAACCGATCGGGAAAAAAGGTTCTCGAGTGGCGGCCTTGTACCGGTGGACGAAGTGTAGGGCGTCCCCCCACTAGATGGAGTGACGACCTAGTAAGACATGCAGGAAGTTGATGGATGCAGGTGGCTCAGGACCGTGTTTTGTGGCATTCCTTGGCGAAGGCCTATGTTCAGCAGTGGACTTGTGAAGGGCTGTAATGATTGTTGATTAGTTTAGTCAGCTGTGTAAAAATACTATGCAGGTGCAGGTTATTTATTTTATTTATATATTCACTACTTCCTTGCAAATACGTTTTTTTTAAAAGCCTCTTAATAGTAACTATAGCATGGTTTAGTTGACTGACAATGACAAAATAAGTACTACTTCGTGGTTTCCGGGCTTAAATCACATTCAAGTAATACAGAGTGATATTCAGAGTAATAAGTAATATTGTTCCCGTTTCTCTATCACTAATTCTTTTACTCTTTAAATAACATGTTTGTAAAGACCACAGCTGGACATAGACCTTTCCAAGAACGTCTCTGGGTATAAATAATGTATTATGTCAATTTCCTCTTCTTCCCGTCACCAATCGTGTGTTCTAGTGACTAAATTTGATAAACTGGTGGTTGGGATCTACATTAGCAGTGCAAGAGTATCACACCAACCTGCCTGCCCAGTATTTTGGGTATACGCAAATCTTTCAAGTAAGCCATAAGACCTAATTCATATTTATAACGGTAGTGATTTTTATGTCTTTCAAACTCTCTTATTTCCTTCCTATAATTAGTTCCGTTTTAAACTGCATATAATGAACTATTAAAATGTCTTCAGTAAACCTGAGAACGTAGATGGTTTTCTGGAATATGTCTGCCGCAGTCGTCAGTTACCTTTCTATAAGTACCTAGTTCAGGTAGAAATTTTGTTGACAGATAAGACCGAGCCAAGTCGGGCTCGTGCCACAACGTAATTCTGCGGCTTTGTGTGCGACCCACCTACAGTTGGAAACTGATAAAGCTTTGTTTCCTTCTTATCTTTAATGCTGAGCCGTGTTCACGCCGGCTAAGCTTTAAAATGTAACAATAAAAATATTATTTAGAAACTTTTCTTTGCTTCTTTTTGTAAATCGTATCGTATCATAATAATGTGCATCAAAATAGACATCGTATCAAGAGAATTTGCTTTTAGTACTTTTTTAAAACCGACTATGGAAAGTGTTTATTTAAAAGAGCAAAAGTAGACATACATATTCATACATATAATTTAAAAACATAACTAATAACTAACAGGATACATTCGATTTATGAAAACATATTTTATACTGCTGTTGTGGAAGAGTATCACTTTTATTGAAACCGTTTGCTTTTTGGTTTTTTTTTCGTCTTTCGTAATGCGTACGGCAAAGAAGTGGAATAATTTCCAGGCATCTGTCTTTTTGTCCGATTACAATTTGGGTGGTCTCTGGCCTTCAAAGCAAGAGTCAATACACTTTTGTTACGCTAAAGCCACTGCAATTTACTACAAGATGTCCTATCTTTGTATCTTGTAGCCGAGCACTGGCTTAGGATAAGTAAAAATATATTATCAATTGTATCATGTCAAACATCAAATTTATTTCATACAAATGATCCGGCCCTGGTTTCGCCCGGGTAGAATTTATGAATGTGACGTTATTTAGTTTTTAAATAATCATCGAAGACCATTTATTTTATAAATTTTTCGCTTTCTAGATGTAGATGTCTATAGGCCATAGCATCCACTTACCGTTAGGTGGACTGTGTGCTCGTTGTCAACCTTATTATATAGATTCATATTACATATTCAAAAAATTCCATCTTCGTCTTCAAGGCTGACAACGCATCTACATATTGTTTCTTAATCGAGGATAGGTACATGAAACAGCTTCCACTTACCATGACCTGGACTGTATGCTCATTTGTCACCCTTAATCTTTAATTTTTTTAAGTAAGTTCTTTCAGTTCTTTCATTTTATTCTTTACCAAAATACGCCACCAAAATTTTTACTTGAAACAAAGGCGTGAATTTGGAAAAAAACCTTGCTCCGCAAATAAAATCAGTTCAGCCATTCCGATGATTAGCCCCGACATACATACAGACAGACAAAAATCTTGAAAATGTTTATTCAAATCTTAATGGCATGCAAATAACCCCTTCAGTTCAATAAAAGACAGTTATTTCGATATTATAGGCAGATATTTCAAATCACATATATCGATATTATAGGTATAGTTTTGTAATTGAAAAAAAAAAGTTTGCAATGTCCAGTTCCTCCATAATAAAGTTTACGACGTGAACGACAAGTAGATACATATGCGCCCAAATCAATGCAGCTTTATACAGACAGCTTTTACTTTTTTATTGAAAGGTACACGAGCATGCGTCTCTCTCTACTTGACGGTAAGGGACTACCGTCGCCAAAAAGCGTGCACAAGCCCATAGAATTATCGCAGGTGCGTTTTTTTATAAGATAAGGGTAACAAACGAGTGTGCTCGAGTCCACCTGATGGTAAGTGGTTGCTGTGGCCTATAGAGTCTACATCTATCCTCAACTACGAATCAAAATGCAGATGCGTTGTCACCCGTGAGGACTAAGATGAATGCCTCGTTTCCAGTAAATAGGGTGGGTCTCCGGTTCTCTACGCTCACCATACAAAACACAGCGGCATTAAGCTGCTATTTTACGCTGGTATTCTGTGAGAGCGTGGTCCTTCCCCGGTCGAGCCGACCCATCCGCGCTATAAACATACTAATAATATAGCTGCAGCATGACTCTACCACGTATAAAAATATACTAGTCATTTAGAAAAGAGTAGGATATTTCCATGAAGGTACTAAAGTCTGATATTGATTATAAGAAAAACCTCTGACGTCTATAATGTGATATAGTCCAATTTTCGAGATCTAGCTGCTCTTATTACTAGCGTGTCGTGGCCCAATCACGCATTTATAAATACTGAAAGTCATTCAATATGTCTAGCAACTTTGCTTCACGAAACTGAAAATTCACCGTTAGAATTGTGATGTCACTCGTTGCACTGAATGGACCTGCAAATAAGCAGAAGCAGGTGTTATGGGCACGAGCTCTACAAAACTCTAATTTATATTATGAACAATATTAGAACTTTAAAGTTACGGGGCCGGGGCTACAAGGCAAGGCTATGATGGCTAGATGTAGTAAAAAGCGACATTATTGCTAAGGTATATAATCTGCTAGGCATCAAGTAATAGTATCCCATCAGCATTATGAATTTTTATCTAAAAAAAAATTACACTTTTCTGGGATATTATTTTGATTACCAATCCATTTTCGTGCTCACGGTTTTGCAAATATAAATATTTCTATTGATGTAACCTTAAATTAAAACTTAACAAAGACTACTAATTGACTTAAAATAATATTTATATTACATACAAAAACTAAACATCTGCAAAACATAATATGTTATAAACAAGTTTTCGAGGTCACATGGAATAGACTCCATAGTCAGACGTTTCTGATACGTGAAGTGGTCACATCGTGAATCGATACAAACATGAAGCAAATATTTCTCGCTATTGTATCATTAACAATAATAACGTTAGTTAGCGCAGTTGAATATAAAGATGAAACATTTGACGACTATGGAGAGCTTGAATTTAGATCAGAAATAATATCTGAAGAGAGTGATATTACCGCAGATGAAAAACCTACGTACAAATTGAAGGATGCTCCGAAACTTTTTACAGAATTCGTTAAAAATTACAGTAAGGAGTACAAAGATGAAGCGGACTTTTACAAACACTATGATAATTTTGTCGCTAATTTAGATGAAATTATTCGAATCAACAAGGAAAATGAGGACTCAGTTGCTGACATTAATATGTTTGCGGATTTAGATGAAAAAGAATTGGAGCCTCTGGTTGGTTAGAGAACTGTTACTAACGTAGAAATAAAGGTAATTATATTTGTTTAATAATTGCTTAAAAATCACTTTGCATATAAGTTAAAAAATCGTTGAGGAATCTGTACTAATTATTTTTTGGTGATGTATTTTACTTTCCTACATTTATAGCGCTCCATAATTCAATGTGGGTAAATAACTAACTCTTAAAAGCACGGAAAAGGCTACAATAAAAAAACATACCATAAAATTACGCATCAGAAAAACAACATTTATACTTTAATAGTAGTAAATTATTCTCAACAATTTCATCATACTCGGCATAAATAAGTCATATAGCAATTAATATTAAAAAAAGCTGATACGCGCGTTTTTTAATATTTTATTATACTTGTTCTCCCTCTTCTCTCTATTATTATTTGGGTTATTTTATAAAGTATATTCTCATCTGGTTGACTAACCAGTTAGGATTATATTTATTATACATTTACATATATGATTCTTGTATTTTAGGCAACAAAAGTCAAACGCGCCTTTGTATATATTTTCAATATTTAATTAAACTTATTATAAAATGTTGATCTCAATGTAATAATAAAAAATACAAAATGATTCTGTCTTTTCAAGAAGTGAGAAATAAAGTTTTTAACGAAATAACACAATTGTCATAGGAATTGTTATATTTTACAATTGTACTCAAAGAATGAACACGGGAGAAGTCAATGGAATACAATGCCGCGTCTTTATTATGCAAACTCAAATAAATGTCAAGTCAACAAATATTTAATTAAATTCAAATTGTGATGTGATTATATTAGAAATGAAATTTAAAATATTTAACATCTATTCAATATAAAACAATGTTTTACACTGAATCTGTGTTCTAACCCCACACTTTAATATATAAAAGTTGGAAAAATTTACTTTGCCTATATCCAGTTACCATTAATCCCAGTACCAATACTTCCACCATCACTACACTAGGAAATACACAGTAAATATTTTTACTTTAATATAATGGATTTCCGCAAAGTAAAGCCTGGTTTTATTAATAACACTTTAATTATTTCTCAAGGTTTATAAAATAAACGACCGACCGCTGATAGAGTATGGATTTCAAATTTGGAACCCCTATTTTCTTAAGGATGTAGATTTGCTGGAGAATGTACAAAGAAAAGCCACGAAATTCCGTTATGCCTTCGCAAAAAGCCATACGAAGAGTGATTAAAAATATTGAGTGAACTTTTTTTTCCTTGTCCATCTGATGGTAAGTGGATACTATAGCCCATAGATATATACATCTACCCCCGATTAAGAACAAAAATGCAGATGCGTTGTAACCCTGAAGACACACAGAATCCAGCGTAAAATAGCAATTTAATGCTGCTGTGTTTCGTATGGTGAGAGTAGAGAACCGGAGACCCTTTTTACTGGAAAAGAGGCGTTCCATCTTAGTCCTCATGGCTGACCATGCATCTGCATTTTGATTCGCAAACAAGGATAAATGTAGATGTGTATAGACCACTTACTGTCAGGTGGATTGTGCACTCGCTTGTCACTTTTATCCTATAAAAAAAAACTTCAAAAATGATATATAGCAGATTTAAGGAAGTATGTTGCACGATATAATTATTTTATATCATTAATGACACGTATGTAAGAATATAAAAATAATTCATTTTACTTCGTGATAAATACTATAACAAAGGTTTCCAACTTATTTTAATGGAATGACATAATTAATGGTTTTTAACTAAGGCGCATTTATAATCCGTTGTAAAGAATTTTGCATCCAAGCGTTTACGCCTCGTAGAGAAAGGGTTGGCAGGGCGGGCGTAATGAATTAAATTAGGTCCCAGTGATAACCTCTCCCCACAATCTCGTCCCTACAATTTGGGTATGTTTTAGTATTTAAAACCGATTACTACAAGCGGCACAGGACTTTCATAATTTAAAAAAAATTATATTATAATTAGATAAGACGTAATTTTTTAAATAAATATATTTCTTTAATTCACCACGCTTTTTATTCTCAATAACATTAAGCTTTTTTTTTATAGTATAGGGTGACAAACGAGCACAGAGTCCACCTGATGGTAAGTGGTTACTGTGACCCATAGACATCAATAAAGACTCAAGATGCAGATGCGTTGTCACCCGTGAGGATTAAGCTGGAATGCCTTTTTGCCAGTATAAAGCGTCTCCGATTCTCTACACTCACCATACGAAACACAGCAGCGTTAAGCTGCTATTTTACGCTGGTTTTCTGTGAGAGCGTGGTCCTTCCCCGGTCGAGCCGACCCATTCGTGCTACAACTATACTACTAATATAGCTGCAGCATGGCTCTACCACGTAAAAAATAAAATGTTTTAGTATTATTATAAAGTAGTAAATTATACTTACAAATATACACATTAGCAATCTGATGATTATAAATAGATGATAAAGGTGACGATGTCTGATGATTTCGACTAATTATTTTCATTACCTACACATAATACTTTATAATAACACAAAAGTACATTCGAACGCTTATGAAAAAACGTGTATATTATTATTTTCAAGGTAGAGTTAGCCATTGTGTTAGCTAACTGTCGATTTAGAACAGATAATCTATGCCGTAATACATTTCAAACTCTGGACGTGCCATGGAACGTGGGCCGCACAAAAATTCTCGTTAAAGTAAAAAAAAATTCTAGTATGGTTAAAGTTTCAAAAATTTTCAATGACCTCTTGATTTTCATGCTCTTGATATGACCTTCGAAATATTTTTTCCAGTTCGCCTCAGACACGTCTTCTTTGACCTGATCGAAATCTGCTAGCACATCTTCCGGCGATGAAAACTGTATCCCTTTCAGTTAATTTTTATTTAAGGTAATAAAAAGGTCACATTAGGGAATGTGAAGCCAAATTAGAGCGTAAAGAGTGTGACCTAGAAGCTTCACCAGTGTACTGCCCAGGACATTCCCTGTTTTGAACGCTGACGGGACGTTTTGTGAGCATCAAGCAAGCAGTGAAATAATAAGCCATATTTATTAATATGGTTTATTATAATTAATTAGTAATTAAGAATATCATTTGCCTTTGATGGCTACTTCGATTCTGTTAAGAATAGCAATCAAAATCTTCCCTGCACTGCTCGATCGCTTCACTTTGTTAGGCGTTAGTTGCTCCATCAACTAGTGCTTCGTTGATAAATACATAATTCATAAGCTTTATTCATTACATTTTTCACTGCTAGCACGGCTCGTAACAGCCATCAAAGAACAACCACTTCTTTCTTTATATCTTTTACCATTAACAATAAATGTTTGATATGATATACAAAAATGATCGCGTAAAAAGTTCCCCACGCAGATCCATATATAACTGACATATAAAATAAATTGTAACTGGACAATATGTGTAATTATAAAGTAAGGTAAATGAATTAGAAAGTAACTAGGGACGGAGTTTAAACTCTCCGTGTTACTTTCTAATTCATTTAATCTTATTTCATTTAAAGAATTACATTTTTTTTATTTTTTTTATAGGAGAGGGGGCAAACGAGCATGCGGCTCACCTGATACCATACCAAAAATATATGCTTCATTTATTATACCGACATAATACAAAAATACGATAGTATAATAATGAGTTTTAACCTACCGGAACATCATAAGCAAATGGCCAACTATATAGTAAAAATAATTTTTATATGATTTTTAAAGGAATAATTTCTATCGTATAAAGTATTGGATTAAAGAGTTGTTAGTAGTAAATTATTGATATGGACAATAAATTCTTGATATATCATCGATACTTAGTATAATGCACTAAATGATAACATCGCGAAATCCGGTTTTAAGACCTCTGTTAAGATATCAGGTTTTCTCTACGTCTTTGCATAATATTATTATTTATTATATAGTAAAATGGTTATACGTAGTTTACATTATGAGCACACCGCACTGTTTGCATACCAAAAAAATAAAATAATATGGCGTCTTCTATAGTTTCAAGGTGAAAAAACGTCTAAAGAGATCTTGAGTCTAAATATATCAAGTTTTATTTTACTACTTTAACGACCATCAATTTAAAACTTGCCTTTGATGAATAATAATAATAATAATAGTTTTAATGACATATACATTTGAACGTGTATGCAAGAAGAGTGAGCTAAACAATGTTAAGCATAGCAAAATATTTTAGGTTGGACCCCAAATGACGTTTAAATTTCAATTAGTAACATTAACTAGAAGCTAAGGATAAAACTAAAAGTCAATATTTATGTGCAGTGTGGTAAGTAACTGGTGGCGGCGTAGCTAGACCGGCAACGCGAAGCAGTGTCAGAGGTGGGAGACGTCTGGTACTTCAATTTCCCACCTTTGACGGCCAAGTGTGACGATTACGACAAATAGTTTCCACAACGGCAGGCCACTGTCACTCTTGCTACCTGCGTGATATAAGTACCTACAAAATCGCGGGGAACCTCAGGTTACAAATGCAGTCACGGCTAGCGCGTTTTAGGCCAGCGGCGTACTAGTGAATTTAAAAGTTTCTGAACACTGTTTACGTAAAAAGATTTTTTGTACTCACTCGTATAAATAATTTGTTTAGTATATTTAGTTATAAGATAAATAGTTGTTTTTAGGGTTCCGTACCTCAAAAGGAAAAAATGGAACCCTTATAGGATCACTTTGTTGTCCGTCTGTCTGTCTGTCTGTCTGTCATGACTCTTTTTCTCAGGAACGCGTGGAGGTATCAAGCTGAAATTCATATCAAATACTCAAGTCTACTGTCCCTTGAAGCTGTGAAAAAATCAAACTTCTAAGCCAACGCAATCAAAAGATACAGCCGTTTATGCCGCAAATTTTCGACATTCGCAAGGGAATCAAAACCTACAGGGTACTTCCCGTGAACTCAGAATCTTAAAATTTGGTACGAAGCAACGTATTATAGCACAGATAAAGGAAAAATTGCGAAAAGCATAAATTTTTAGTTAAATCATATAATATTTTTTTTAATAATTTTCAACTTATATACCTACGGATTTGTTCGAAACCCTCTGTGCGCGAGTCCGACTCGCACTTGGCCGGTTTTTTTATAGAAGAAGAGGCAAACGAACATACGGCTCACCTGATGGTAAGTGATTACCGCCGCCCATGAACAACTGCATCATCATCATCATTACAGCCCTTCACAAGTCCACTGCTGAACATAGACCTCCCCCAAGGAATGCCACAAAGCACGGTCCTGAGCCACCTGCATCCATCGACTTCCTGCATATCTTACCAGGTCGTCACTCCATCTAGTGGGGGGACGCCCTACACTTCGCCTACCGGTACGAGGCTGCCACTCGAGAACCTTTCTTCCCCATCGGTTGTCGGTTCTTCGAGCTATACGGCCGACCCATTGCCACTTCAGCTTACTAATCCGTTGGGCTATGTCGATCACTCTGATTCTACTGCGGATATCCTCATTTCTGAGTTTATCACGCACGGAAACTCCGAGTATAGTCCTCTCCATAGCTCGCTGAGCGACCTTGAGCTTCCTCATCCGGCCAGCAGTGAAGGACCACATCTCAGTTACGTATGTCATCACTGGCAACACGCACTTGTTGTACAGTCTCGTTTTTAAGTTTTGAAGTATACCTGACGAGAAGATGTGCCGTAATTTCCCGAACGCTGCTCAACCGAGTTGAATCCGTCGATTGACCTCTCGGTCGAAGTTGGACTTACCTAGTCGGACTATTTGTCCCAGGTAAACATACTCGTCAACAACTTCGAGCTTAGTGTTCCCAACAACTACCGGCATAGGTGTGACATGGACATTAAACATGATCTTTGTTTTGTCCATGTTCATCTTAAGACCTATCCGTTGGGAAGCACTATTGAAGTCATTGAGCATAGTGCTTAGGTCCTTCAGCGATTCTGCCATAAGGACTATATCGTCGGCAAATCGAAGGTGAGTGATGTAATCGCCATTGATGTTGATACCGTATCCTTTCCAGTCCAGAAGCTTGAAAACGTCTTCCAATGCAGCGGTGAAGAGTTTCGGGGTTATGACGTCACCCTGTCTTACACCTCTCTGCAATTGGATAGGTTTCGTACTCTGGTTCTGTACTCGGATAGCCATCGTAGCCGGCTACAAGCACTTCAGGACTTCGATATCTCGAACAACTGCAATATTCGAACAACTGCAACACCAGGGGAATTGCAGATGCGTTGCCGGACTTTTAAAAAGGAGTAGGCTCTTTTCTTGAAGGTCCCTAAGTCGTATCGGTCCGGAAAAATCTCTGGTGGTAGTCGATTCCACAAGGAAGTTGTGCGAGGAAGAAAACTTTTTATATATCGCACAGAGGTGGACCGCCAATCATCCAGATGGTATGGATGGTATCGCGAGTTTTGTCGCGATGTGCAATATTGAATTTGTGCGACTGGAATTAGTCCGAACGATTCCTCAGAGCACTCCCGTGGTAAATGCGATAAAAGACGCAAAGAGATGTAACATATCTTCGCAGTGTCAGTGAGTCAAGCCGATCGGAAAGAGTTCGATCGCAGACAATTCGAACATCTCTGCGCTGGGATAACGTGTCTGTGCTCTGGGATAACATCAAAGCTCTGGATAACGTAGAAATATCGTCCGTGACGTATGAAGGGGAAAAATACAAAGCCACTAGCATTCGTGATTTATTTAATTAATAATAATTATATAGGTTATTAAAACGTCGGCAAGTAGTCAACATCAAAGAAGTGTACTATTATTTATTCTGTGACAACGGTAAAGATTGGTGTCCATCAGTATAGTCCACTAAGCGCTGATGAAGAAGATGTAAATCCTAAACTAAATTAAACGAAAACAAATCGAATGCTACACTATTTACCCACATGCATGAATTCTCAATAAAAATACAAATTTTAAAAATGTCGTTTCTAGTTATGAGATAGTTATCTGTGACATGGACCAAACCTTGCTAATGTCAAGTGGTCCGTAGCCAAAGAGTTATGTGCATAACGCCTGCTCTGTGATTTATCTCGTTTGAGATTCTGCCCACATACATATGTATTGCGACATATATACATTTTAACTAACGCTTTTTGACCGCTATTGAAAAGGGCACATGATCTAGTAGTATATTCGGGATTTATGTGAAAGTTTTTGTTTTGTTTTGTTTCAGAACGGTGCCGGAAGATGGTTTTTGTCTAAATATGTTGAAAGTGATATTTATACAATGATACTTATATAAACAAATATGACGCAGTATTGTTTTGTTTTATTTTGTATCCTCGTCGAATAGCTACATCTTGACAAAGCATTATTAAATACTAGCTGTGCCCAACGGTTTCACGCGTGTACAAATATCATGCGTCTGAGTCGCCCGATATGACACCCCACTTAAAGTAAATTTATAGCCTATAATGGATACAAAATTTTCTGCCCTGAAGGATAAATCTCAAATCACTATAATAATTTTTAGATATAATCTCTCTTCATTTCAATACATTTTTCACAGCTCTTTACTAACTATTCTATATCCTTAAAAAAATAGTCTGAATTTTTTCCCCTCAAAATGTGACAAAACGTGTCAAATGTGTTTACTTGACCTCATCATTAGTATTAAATTTTTTCGCCGTAAATCATATTCCAATTTTAAGAATAAATCCTATAATAGGGGCCAACTCGAGGCTGTATGGTGGATGATGGTCTCTGTGAAACCGCATTCCTTAATGGCAGCCTTGGAAACATCCGATGTGTCCACACATTGCACGGAGCATTGCCATGAAGCAACAACCCTTCTCGCCACAAGATTCGATGTTTTTGTTCAACAGCTTCTCGCTATTGATGTAGCAAGGAAGCATAGTAATCGCCTGTTACTAAAAATTGTAAAATTGCTTCGGAATTCAAAAATATTGTAGCCATAATCTTTTTCTGAAATTGAGTCACCTTTGTTTTTTGGCCGCGCATTTTGAACTTGGACGACGCCACTCCATCGATTCCTTTTTTGACAGAGTATCATGATAAAGAACGAAGGTTTTATCACCAGTAACAATTGAATCCAAAACTTATTTCTGTTGGCCTTTACAAAGGGATAGCAACTGAATACATATAAATTTTGTCTTCCTCTCTTTTCTGAGAGGGTTTTAGGGCAAGGAAGTGTCCGCCGCGCGTGCGATGCGTGTTGGTGGACTTCAAATATCTTCGATTTTTTCTCGGACATGCAGATTTCTTCACGATGATTTCCTTCACCGCCGAGCACGTGGTAAATTTAATGGCACATGGACACCTCTCTTACGCCTATATGCGCCTACACCTCGGGCACCGGCCTTCACTTCTGGTTTCTCTATCGGCTAGGCTTACAAACCGAGTGTTGAGTTATTTTAATTTCACATTATCTCTTAAACATGCATAAAAATAACATGCTATAAAGAGAAAAGTTTGTCTCCATAAAATTGTCTTGATGATGTAGTAACATACGTTCGTAAAAATTATATGCCTAATACCATGCCTAATTTTCAATAACTTTTTGTCACAAAATACCTTTGGGATGGGTTGTAAACACCAGCATGCTTAAAAAGAAGTATAGCTTCGCCTCCAGGTCCTTCAAAAGAGTTATTGCCAAGGCAAAGTCAGAGCACATAGGCAGAATTGCGAGAAACTAGTTCGCCTTCCTTCGGGAACCCGTGCATTCTGGTCTCTCGCCAAGGCTGTCCAAGGGAATTTCTGTAAGCCATCACTACCATCTCTGCACAGGGAGGACGACTCACTGGCTCACGCCGTAAAAGAGAAAGCCGACCTTTTAGGCTCCCTTTTTGCGTCCAACTCGACTCTTGATGACGGGGAAAACACACCGCCGACCATCCCGCGGTGTAAGTGCTCCATGCCGGATGTGCGGTTCTCACAGCGCTCGGTTCGCAAAGCACTCCTCTCCCTGGACATACAGAAGTCGAGTGGGCCTGACGGAATCCCCCCAATTGTGCTGAGGACGTGTGCTCCGGAGTTGACACCGGTTCTAACGCGTCCTTTCCGGTACTTCTACCCCCTAGGCGTAGTCCCGAAAACATGGAAGACAGCTTTTGTCCACCCGATCCCTAAAAAAGGCGACCGCTTAGACCCGTTCAACTACAGGCCTATCGCGATCACCTCCTTGTTCTCCAAAATAATGGAATCAATTATTAACTGCCAGCTCATCCGGTACCTTGAGGATCACCAGCTGATTAGTGACCGCCAATACGGTTTTCGTCGGGGTCAATCAGCTGGTGATCTTCTGGTCTACCTGACTGATAGATGGGCGGAGGCAGTAGAGTCCAAGGGGGAGGCATTGGCCGTTAGCTTGGACATTGCGAAGGCCGTCGATCGGGTTTGGCACAAAGCGCTTCTTTCGAAGCTCCCTTCCTATGGGCTTCCCGAGAAATTGTGCAATTGGATCACCAGCTTCCTTACAGATCGGAGCATCAAGATCGTTGTAGACGGTGCATGCTCCGACTACAAGCCTATTAACGCTGGTGTTCCAGTAGGCTGTGTGCTATCACCAACGCTGTTTCTTCTGCATATTAATGATATGTTGCTAACTGGTAACATTCATTGCTATGCGGATGACAGCACTGGTGATGCTTTATACACGGGGCCGTGCCCAAATTTCTCGGGAAAACGTCGCCGCGTGCCGGAACAAACATGTGTCTGAAGTCGAGCCTTTGCTGAACAAAGTCTCGGATTGGGGGCGACTAAATCTAGTCCAGTTTAATCTTCAGAAGACACAAGTTTGCGCGTTTACCACTAAAAAGAACCCCTTTGTCGTATCTCCTCAGTTTCAAGGCACTCCCCTTCTTGCCACAGCCAGTATCGGAATCCTCGGAGTTGACATATCGAGTGACGTGCAGTTTCGTGGTCACTTGGAAGAGAAGGCCAAATTGGCCTCTAAAAAGCTTGGCGTGCTCAGCAGAGCGGGACAGTATTTCATGCCGGCACACCGCCTGCAACTTTACAAGGCGCAGGTTCGGCTTCACATGGAATACTGTTCCCATCTCTGGGCAGGTGCTCCCCAGTGCCAGCTCCTTCCACTTTAACGCATCCAGCGCAGAGCGGCTCGAATCGTCAATGACCGAGTCCTTTCCGATCGGCTCGATTCATTGGCACTGCGAAGAGATGCTGCATCCCTTTGCATTTTCTTGAGGAATTGCTCTGAGGAATTGTTCGGATTAATCCCAGCCGCCAAATTTCACGAACGCACATCGCGGCAGAACTCTCGATACCATCCACACCATCTGGATGATTGGCGGTCCACCACTGTGCGATTTAGAAGCTTTCTTACTCGTACAACTTCCTTGTGGAATCAGTTACCATCAGCGATTTTTCCGGACCGATACGACATAGGGACCTTCAAGAAACGAGCCTACTCCTTTTTAAAAGGCCGGCAACGCATCTGCAATTCCCCTGGTTCCCCTGGTTTGCAGTTGTTCATGGGCGGCGGTAGTCACCATCAGGTGAACCGCATGCTCGTTTGCCCCCTCTTAAAGGGTTTGAGGGCGCTTTTACTTCTAACTTGCTTAACAAAAATCAATATTCCTCACGAATCTGACTATGATATATAAAAAGAACATTTCAAATTGGACTGGTAGTTCCAGAGATTAGAGATTTTAAACAAACAAAACAGCTCTTCCGCTTTATTATATTAGTATAGATGTATGTTAATTTATATTACATATGAAACTTCAAAGACGTCGTAACATTCTTTGATTACACATCGTGCTGCTTTTGAAAGTAGCGACTCGCTAATGAACTTACTTTGTGAATACAACAATACCTAGTTCACAAATAGGCTTCATTAAGCTCTCTCGCATCTGGAAACTAGCTAGAGCTATTACAACCTTCATAATACAGTTCCCTCAGTCTCTACACCGCATGGCCCGGTAACATTGTTAAGTTGTATCAACGTAGAATGTTGGTTGTTCACTATAGTTTTGGCAAAACTTAGAAAATGTGTGACAAAACTATTGCTATTGATTTGTTTAATGATATTATTTGTATTTTAACAAGCTTAGAGAAACCAAGTGTTTCAGTCATTTGAATGATCATTTTAAATTTATATTTACTACCTATTACTGAACCTAAATATGTGTATTAGTTCCGTTTTCGAAATAATTTTTTATATTTTTAGTTGATACCTATTAAATAGTAATCGAAAGTGACAAATTTAACGAAAAAAGTGAAATAATTTCTTGTAAAAAATTAAATGCGATAAATTTTTGAGGCATTGTGAAAAAGAGTAAGTAAATAGAAACATATGTAAGAAGTTTTTTCGGCCGTAAAGCCGTAGTGACTGCTCAACCATTCGCCGACGAAGAACATCTCAAAAGGAACGACCATGCGTGAATATTGACATGGCTCCTAAGATAATTATACTGTAGCAAGTTTCCAACGAAATGTTTACTCGAAGAAAATGTTACAGAAAGGAAAGGATTTCGATTTACGTACGTGCTCTCAACGATGCTCAACATCTACTTGTATTTATGTAAAACGACTGTTTTTCCCTGTGTGCCACTTAATTTTGGTAAGAACTTGTTCACATAGCTAATAAAAATACTACTTTATTTCAGTCCTTAGTATTATGTAAACAGATACATTCTCCAAATGAGATCCATGTCAGCTTAAAAAAAATAGACTGCGTTAGTTTCATAGGTATCGAGGCGAATTTTGGAGGATGAAGCTGCTTGCGTCCGTAGGAATTAGTTGAATCCTGATTCCCTACATGTATCCCCAAAGTAGTGCTAAACGAGCAGTACTACATACTGGTGGTAGGTTAGGGTTAGTTACCACGCACCTGGCAAAGACATACCGCCAAATGATGCAAGTCGTGTTTCGGTATGATGTTAGGTGAAACCCATTTTTTAGGGAGAATGGGTCTGGATAGTTGCGTTGCGCATACGAACCGGTGGCGACACGGCCGTTTTTTAGAGTCAGGTGCCTGACTATGGAGGTTAGCGGGATCCGAAGCACGGTTGTACCGCTAGCCGTAGATAGTTGGGGTCCAATTAATGAGCCAGCCACTCATGAAAGGCTGCCCCGCTATCTTACAAAAAATTCTGGGATGGCTCCACCATGCCGGTTGTCGACCGGAGGAGAGGGCTTGGTTGCGATTTCCAGAGCGGTTCGGGCGTACCCGCGATCTCCATGCTAGTTACCATCGATGCGGTGACTCTGTTTGCGTCCCTAGGTTTTTATGTGTGACGCCTCGTCCAACTGCCATTCTCTCAAACTATTC